TTATCAGTACAGCTCAGCTTTGATCCTCTTCACAGGTGGTTGGGTACGGTATTGCTGCTGTTGACTGTGGGGATGAGAGCTGTAGATTCGTTGATTGGTAAAATTTGTCAGACGTATGCCTCCGGATGCTGTGTACACAATTCCTTCTGATTTATATTCGAGTTTCGGTTCCTAAGAAATGGTATTCTTTATCCACATGGTATTGAAAAAATTTAAACAAGCTTTATGGAAAACGCCCTTCTAATTAGAGTAGATTGCAATTGTAAACGCTTCAAATAAGCCAAATCTCAACTAATTTTAAGCGAGACCCGGGAACCCATGTGCAGAAATTTTTCATATATTCCTTGGGAGTTGATGTGCAGTCCAGGGAAAGAGGTTAGGAAATAGAAGGTACTTTTTCTTTATCTGGAGATCTTAAACAGTCAAAGAAATGGGTTTAGGTAACGGACAAATATCTGTATTTGCTACATCTTTAACAAAGTGTCAGGACACGTGACCTGATATAACCACCCAAAATCTTTAGAAAAAGAATGGGTCCAGATGAAGAAAAAGACTAAAGAACGTTCTAAAGATTATGTAAACCGCTGTGATTCACGATTAAAGTTCGCAGTGATTCGCCGAAAAAATAACTCGGCGGTATTATTAAAAGATCGGCGACCAACTGTGAGCTCACATCGTTTCCCAAATGTTTAAATTAATTCCCTTTAATGTGTGGTAGCTGAAACGCAACCAACATAAAACAAAGTGGTACGAACAGAGGATATAGGGAAAAACGTTTTCAATATGATTTTATGCTTCAAGCTTTGCATGTATACTGAATACAACGAAAATAACAAGGCCCGATGCGACTAACCAACCTGAAGGTAATTGATTCCCCCACCAGAATTAGGCACTGGCGGCGTTGTAGCAAACGTTCGACGCTTTGTTAGGATAGGTCCATCTTGTCTAGGTGACTTAACAGCGGGTACGGTCGGCGCTTCTACTGCCTTGGGTACATCTGGTTCCTGTGGGCATTGACCACCTTTCGAAACGTACTCCATTAATGTTCGAGAGCGAGCTATAACCGTAAAATTAGGCATTTGAAAGTGAAAAAAAGAGAAACCGTTGAAGTGAAACACGCATGTTGGTTTAGGAAACCCAAGGGATATAAGTACCTTGTGCTGGAGCTCGCCTAGACACCTCCTGTAAACTGAGGTTGTTCGGTTGGCGGGAGGCAGCACGTGTGGCCTCTTCTGATTCTACTGCTCTCTGTTTGGTTTGCTAGAAAAAATACCTTATTGAAAGAGAGCTTATTATCTATTAATACAAAAGAAAACCCACCAAAGGGTTGAGATGAGGGGCAACGAGGAGGCATACCGATAACAGGAGAACAGCTAGACATGTGCCTGCTTGAGCTCCTCGGCGAGTGCTCTGAAAGAGAGGATTTTTTCATAATTAAGAAAATTTTTATTGAGGTACAGCTCTTTAACGTGTACCCATGAACTCACTTGGCCAAGTGCTGCTTGTAGTTTACGCAACTGTGAGAGAACGGATTGATGCTGACGAGTAAGAAGTTCTACTTGTGCTTTCAGTTCCTGATTTTCCTGACTGCAATCTGCGACGCGATCTTCTAATTGTTCAATGTAATCCTGAATAGAAAAAAGAGATTAGAAACGAAGATGATGAAGAAAAAACAAGTTAAACTCGAAGGAACGGCAAACTTTCCAATACAAAACGTACGATATTTTTCTAAGTACAGGAATGACAAGTTGATATAAGGTTAATATATAGCTACAGATTATACTCGGCCTAATTTTTAGGATTGAATATAAATAGAATTTAAGTCTAAACGCTACTACTTTACTCGTCAGTGGCTTGCAATATATTCAAAAACCCGAAAAACCTCCGAAATTCTACCTACAAGCGCTATAGAAACAAAACAAATCCATCGTTCACACAACTCTGATCAGATTTTAATAATTACATCCTCAGATCGCATTCAAGAGATCAGATCCCTTTACGAACACATCAATATAACACCACTCAAGTTTTGTGGAACCTGTTACGCGCTTAAAATTCATGATGCAAGATTTAGAACTAGTGTGGATCGCTCGTAAAATAGGTCGCATTCCTTGTGACAACGTGAAACACCGCTCATAACCTTGGGATTTGCGAAGTCCGTCAAATCATTCGTCCGCTCACTATAACCTATCATTTCAGATCCGGAATCTTCATGAACATTGAATTTAGCGCTGATCAGGCCAGGCCATTTGTTCATTTTGAGTGATGAACAAGCAAACAAAAGTCCATCGCAAATCGCTTACGACGGCACTACCAGTCACCGCGCAGGTAGGATTCATTCACATCAGGAAGTGCAACTTAACAATGATTTGTTCAATTTTCAGTATTAACAAGTAGATGTTGCACTGAATATATTGCAATTACAAAAAGACTAACATGTGAGTTTCTCTGGCAACTAGTGTATCGCTAAATAAGCGGTAAATCCCTAAACTTCATAACATAAGCAAATCTCACTACAGAGTAAGCTATAATTAACTTTTCCAAACAAGGTTTTCCTACTTCCTTCTCAATGATTGAATAAGGGAAACGCTGTGCTTCGTATCATCCTATCATACGTAATCCGTAAGCGTTAAGCACCAAAAGCAAACAACCAACTGAAATTTTTTT